CCGACCAGTTTAGAGAATCGGGATACGGTCCTCTGCAGCTCCTTTATCTCCTCTCCCTGCTTCTCAAGCTGCATTTTCTGGAAATCCACAGTGCGAAGAGCCGCATTTCTTTCGTTCAAATAACTGTTCGCCAATTCGAGAGACAGGTTTCTCTCCGCTTCGGCAGCTTCTAAGTTTCGCTTAAGCACTGCGATTTCTTCCTGCAGGGTAGCACCTCCCTTCGCAGCTCCTAGTTGTGCCTTTTCCATGGACATTCTCATGGAAAGAAGAGCCTATGAACAGCAGAAGAAAGTTAGGTAATCAAAAGAAGTTAAGTCATCATCAAGGACAGTTCGCTCACCTTGCTTATATGCTGAATCGATGTAGACATTAAGTCTACGTCGCTGGAACTTGCGAACTGCTTGAAAGATTTTGAAAGTCCGCATTCCAGCAGGGCATACACCACCAACTGCAGTACTCCGGCAGGTTGCCCAACGAGTCCAACACCGTAGGACCCTTCTTCGCGGTCTCAGCAGCCGACGTGTCATCCATAGGCGCCTTGCCCGACTTGCTTGTGTCAGGTCGCGCCCTCTTTGGCTGCTCGCCTTCAGACTCAGTTTCTGATTCCTCGGCCTGAATCTGCTTTCTCTTTTTTCGCTGAGCCATGGTTTTCATCCTTGGCCGAGCAGACAACGATTGGGCGACCTTCGTGGTTCATGCCGACACGTCCTCTGCCGACTATGGCTGGGACATTTCTGAAGGTCGCGTCGGTTGGCTCGGGGTCGCGCCCTCAGCTTGGGAGGCTGTTCGTGCAGCTTCGACCGCCTTAGTTTTCTTCGTCCGAGGGAAGTTGATGTTCCTTCAATGAGGTTGCTCTGTTTCCTTCGGTGGCATGGTTGCTGCTACATACAACGCGAGGTTAGTGGAAACATTCTGTTCCACGACCAAGAAAAGAGCCAGTTAGGGAAACTTACATGGTGAAGGTGGTGGAGGCTCTAACGACGCGCTGGCGTTGAAGAAACCGTACTTCCGCAAATTCGCGGTTGTCACAAGAGTCCTCGCATCGTGCTTGTCCTCAGGAAAGGAGCCGAACTGAAAAATTCACCTCCTGTCATGAAGCAGCCTTATTTCAGTTGTCTTATTAACTGTAAGAAAATAAAACCCTGGTCGTTAGAGCGAGCGCAATGAGTTCGCCGAAAATAAAACAGAAATGCAAGCAAAGAGAAAGAGGCCTACTCGGATCCTGAAGCGACAATGGCCATCATAACGAAAGAAGAAAAACTTCGTTTCGTAGGCCCCCGCGTTGCTGGGATAACTGTGTATCCCATCGGCAATGGTAGGTCGCCTGGACAAGTAATACGAATCCTTGTCCTTGCTCTTCTTCAGATAATACGAGCAACCAAGCTCCAAGGCTGTTAGCTCGCCCAGCCCGTTTTCCTGGCACGCGATGTACATTGCAATAGCAATGACGTACGCGTTCGGGGTCAGCTGCATCGGTGCGACCCTGAAGTGGTCCAAAACTGACCTGATGAAAGGGTACAGGGGGATAAGTCCTCCACTCTTGATGATCTCCTCGGAGATCGTGGCCAGGCCTTTCGATGGGTACCGCGACGAGTGCGTCGGGTCGTGGAACATGTCCACTTCGATACCGAACTGGTTTATTACCCTCTCAAGTTCTTCCTCGGTGAGTACCGAGAAAACCTCAAGAGGGATGCTAGGAGTAGCATGCGAGGACGAGCTGGTTCCCTGCTCAGGCCTGGTATTCGAGGGGTCCATTTTGCCAGTCTGCAATAGCAATAAGTAGAGGGATTATTTGGTCTTCGTACGCTATATCGTACAATGACATGGGAGGAAATAAACTCCCTAAACCCTAAATAAATACCCTAGCAACATCGCTTGAGCTGCCATTCACAGCTCCAACTCGGCACAGACGGCTAGTCTCCGATGGGTTACCGAAAGACCGACACCATTAGATCATGGAAAAAATGAGATGACGACAAGAAAACTCTTACCTCTCGAAGTATAGCAACGGTGTCCGCTTCAGATGCCGGAAAGATATAAGTCTGGAAGACAAAGGTTCTTAGCCTGCAGAAATCTCTTGTTCTCTGTAAAAAGGGCTTTGGTGACATTACCGGAGAACGATTTGTGGTTTTTATAGTGCGTGGGTTGGCGTTTGGATTTCCCGGAATTGAAACGACGTTCGAACGGTAAAGGTTTCTTACCGTTGATCTTGGCCACGTGTCACTCATCAGCGAGGGAGGGTGAGCAAAACGACTGGATGAGGTCAGACTTTTGCCTTCCCAGCTGAAAAGCTCAAACGACGGCCATATCTCTCTCAGTGCATTAATTGCATCTCAAATCTTCATTTAATGCTCTGGTAAGGTGCACTGTTCCAACGCATATTGCATTTAATGCCCTGATAAAGCGCACTGTTTTAGCATGCAAGGCATTAAATGTGATTGGCTGATATTCCCCACGCAAGAGGTACACCTGTCAACACATGGGTGGCCCCATTAAATGCCTTCCTACCACCAGAATGAACGGGCAATGTCAGACGAAACCAGGTTGCTCGTCCTTGAGCATGTGAGGTCGCGCTCGCGCATATGCCACTCCGACCTGCTTTTGAACATATTAAAGTTTCTAGAAATCATCTCACTGTAGCATGACCTGTAGTTTCCAAGGTTCAATCTTCAAACCTTAAAAACTAGGGTGCTTCTATTACACCTAAAAATATAAGGGCTGACGTCAGGACCCTTTAACCCGCAAAAGTCAGATCATTGGGACAGCCACCATCTGCATCTGTCAGGGTAGTGGGCGCGCGTTAGGCTAGTCAGGGAGCTGTGGTGCTCCCACATGTCCAATCCCTGCTCTAAATCGCGCAAATCACTCTAGAAGGTGGGCAATGTTACATAAAGAAGGATTTGCACGGATAATCCCACCAACTTGCAGATTTAGTGATCATTGCCTCAGGGCATCCGACTATAAATTATATAAATTAAGAATTCATCTTTCATTAAAGGGATTCGGACACTTTTCGCTTGATTAGGTATACTTTCATTTCTTATCAATTTATACCTGGTATTATTGTAAAGTCAGTCAGCTAATAGCAACCTGACCCCCATAATCAATACAAGCATCAGTGGACGTAGGACTTGCTACCTTAGCATCCGAACCACTTTAAAAATTGTCTCCATTGCATTTACTATCCTCTACCCATTACTTTCACGTGTGATTTCGGGGCCTTCCACAACATTTCACACGTGCATTTCGTTTGTGCAAAATCACGCATCAACAGAATTCTAAAAGCTACAAACATCTATTTTTGAAATTATTTTATATAACAGATTATTTCATAATTGATTTGTTGTATAATTATTTTGTAAGGCACTATATTTGTTTCACTATTTTGAATTATTTTTCTGTTATTCTATTTAGATTAAAAAAATAAAATATATATTTATTTACTTATTGGGATTATTGTCATGAAAATTAATCCGAATCAAATAAGAATTTTTTGTTTGAAATTGAAAAGAAGGGTACTTGTTTTGTATTATCCTATTCTATTCCACTCAAAATATTTTTTTAACTCTATTCAACTAAAAACAATTACCTTTCACTATTAAATACTGACAGTCGGCCACCACCACCGAAGGGTGGCCAAAGTCGCCATATCGGAGCACAACCAGCTGGATCTGACCGATCGTGCACCGATATAGCCATTGATGGTCAGATCTTGCCACATTTAGTTGTCAACGATATGGCCGTCGTTGATGATTGGGTACGGCCAAATCTTTGGTCGTAGATCTGGTTGGAAAAGGCTAGATCAATGCACTACTAGTAGGTAGTGCGCCATTATACCAAATTCCGACCAACTTCTGACGGTGGTGGTCGAAATCTGACAAATGTGGGTTGCTGTGGTGTTTTTGCAATTTCTAAAAAAAATTGTTGGGTGTTTAGTTAAATTAACAAATCTAGGGGATTAAAAATAACTGAATATAAATCTAGGGGGTTTAAAAGAGTTGAATAATATATGATAATATTTTCAAAATGAGGAAATAAATATGTATTTTGGATAGTATAGGGAATAGAGTAGTGAAAATTTGTGAAACAAAGGGGGCCTTACCTTTCACTATTTCAAATTTGAAAATTAATCCACTCAAGACCACCACTATTGGCTGTCGGCCATGGTCCTTGTCGGCGGCTGTGGTCAGAATGATGCACGACAAGTCGAATATGGCTGGCCGTGCACTAATTAGACCATTTTTTTACTAGATATAGACGGAAACGGCCAAAACTAGGGCTAGAGATTTGACTATTGATGACTAGATTCTGGCCAGATTTTGGCTAGATCCAGCCGTTAATGGCTAGATCTATCTGGCTAATGACGACGACCAGATTATAGCGGTAGATCTAGATCCATGGTGGATATGGTCGTAAATGGCCATAACGTCGCACGACTGATCAGATCTAGCTGATCATGCGTCATTCTGATGACTATCATTCGGTAGTGGTGGCCGGCGGTCAGCTATCCTCTTGGATGGCTGTGGTGCTTTATTTAATTTTTAAACTTTTATTAAGGGAGTGTTTAGCTAAATTAACAGGTTAAAAATAATCTAAATATTTTGATAATATGTTTTCCACAAATGTACCAGACAACTATTCAACATTTTATCTAACTGTGATATAATTTTCAGATATTATATCAAACACATTTTCAGAGTTCTATCCTATTAAATTTAATCTAACCGAAGCTAAATCACTTTTTTATCATAATATTTTTCAAATGATCTATCAAACTAACTCAATTTATTTTATCAATGTTTTTTTAAATTATATACTATGAAATAAATTATTATAGTTGCAGCATAAAATTCATTGTATATTATAATATAAGTAATTATAGCCATGGAAAGTTGGAAACCAAACTCACCCTGTATCCGTACAACATCACTTCCTGAGATGACAACAAACAGAACAGACGTCAGAAGGTTTACCAAATCACCCCTAATTGAACGCAGTGATAACTTTAAAGTTTCCAGTCGAAACTTGAAAGGAATTAAAGAAAAGCCCATCACATTACATCCCTAATAACTATCAGTATCCGTACAACATCAAAGAAGCAAGATTCAGATCAGTTAATTTCTTGCAGTCTTTCTCATTCGGTAAGTCTTTGTTCCTCACGTAAATCTATCTTTTTTTGTGTTTGATAATTCCGTCTGATTTAGCTGTTCATTTGATATTTTATATACTCGTAAACGAAACAGAAAACCACGGAGAACAAGTTAGGTTTTCGTTTTCCTCACAGTAATTGCGTATTTGTGTTTATGCTTATCATTATTAAATTTTTATTTTAACGTGCTTTTGTGCTTGGTCTTGGTTGTTTCAGAGCCTGGGCAAATAATATTTTTTCTTGTAATTGTCAATAAGTAGATTATGTTTCCAAAATAAAACAAAGAATTGGATTTTTTTTTTAATTAATTGGTAGGTTATATCATTCTGAAATTTAATGAGTTGATTAAGAGTTTAAGTTAAAGAGCAAGAATCTGCAGAGATAGTATTGATGATTTATTATCATGCTTCAAAAATTAGTGTAAAACCTCTGTTAGATTGTGCTTGACTGGTTAGAACTTTGCATTGGCCTAATCCCTGTGATTGCCCGTTCACTTTTTCTTCTATATTGCATTTTGTTTAAGAGGTTAATTAAATGTGAAAAGAAAATATAGTTGAATGTTAAAGAGTCCCCTTGTTTGATGTACAACCTCTTTTTCATGCTTAGTAAATGGAAGTGTTTGATACTGATGATCTTTGTAAATCCAATTTTGTGTTTTCTCTTCTGCTTCTTTTGAAAAGGAATAGTGATTCTCTATTCTCAGGTTCATTTGATTAGGAATACACATTGATTGGCAGCATGCGGAAGTCAGATGATGAGAAGATTTTAAGCTACAATGATGTTGTACTTAGGCAATCAGACCTGGGCATTCTAAGTGGTCCTCACTTTCTGAATGATCGAATCATCGAGTTTTATTTCAGTTATCTTTCTTCTTGCCATTCACAGGACATTCTACTGGTTCCACCTTCAATTGCTTTTTGGTTGATGAACTGTCCAGATGCTACGAGTCTCAAGGATTTCATAGAGCCCCTTAAATTGCATGAGAAGAAACTTGTGATTTTTCCGGTTAACGACAACGATGATGTGAGCATTGCCGAAGGTGGAAGTCACTGGAGCTTACTAGCATACGAGAGAAATGCTAATGTGTTTGTGCATCATGATAGCAATCATGGGATGAATAAAATGCGAGCGAAGCAACTTTTTAAGGCTGTTGCTGGATTCATTGGCGATTCCAGTTCAGTATCTACTGCCAAGTATCTGGAATGCAGTGATTCGCCGCAGCAAACAAATGGTTATGACTGCGGTGTATATGTTACTGCTGTTGCAAGAGTTTTATGTTGCTGGCATGACAGTAGCGAACACAAAGATAAAGATGATATGTGGTTTTCTTCTGTGAAGGAGCAGATCACTCCATCTGCTGTTGCTGAGACGCGAAAAGAGATTCTTCAGTTGATTAAAGACCTTATGGCAGGGAAATAAGACTTGTCTGCTATAAATGAAGGCAAATTAATAATGAACACTCACAATACTCGTCCAACTCTTGAATTGGGACTTGAAAGGATCATACGGATGTTAACATTCATCAGCAATTAGTTGTTTCCTTCGCAAATTCAGTAGCCTGGTGAAGTCAATATTTTTGTTGAGGCCCATGGTATGTAGAACAAGTTTTTTAGTGTAATAGCAAGTTTGTTTCTGTGTTCATAGTTTCATTACTTTCAGATTTTGGCAAGTCAGAATTGCAAAATGTTAAGGCCTAAAATTTATCGGAAAACAGGAACCAGAGAACTCGGTAGCCTAAAGTTTATTTTTGAACCAATGTACCTGTTATCTGATTTGACGATAAGAAATAATTTGGTTGTCAAGGGTATATACAGCACTTTCAGTGAACATTTTCTTCATTCATGTAAGATAACTGATAAAATTGGTAATTGAAAACGAGGAATTTCTTTTGTTGGAAACCTCTACTAATTCTGGTAACCATATGAAAAATGCTACTAAAGAGGCTACAAAATTGCTTCTATGTGACATAGCTGAGTTTGTGTACTAGCATGTGTGAATCGCCTCATATAACTTTGTGAAAAAATATGCAAGAAACTGTAACATCTGAAGAACAAGAATGGGGCAAGTGATCCAATTGCAATTATCGTCAATGTGAACGAGAGGCCTGCATAAGCAATCAAGAGGGAATGAGTATTTGAGATAAATGTTCATGTTACACTGACAAAGAAACCTGTTTCCCACATAACTCAAACTAATATATATGCATTTTTTGACAAAGTTTGTAATTCATGGAAAAACAGATCAGATGACTCCTGATCCCAGTAGCAACCCCACAGTTATTTTGTCTTCTCTCTCTCTATTTTTTTTTTTTTTTCTTTTTTTTTTTTTCTTTTTTCTTTAACTTGAAATTATTTGGTTAATCCCAAACAAAAGGGGGATGCAACCCTTTTTTTGAGTTTTTGACAGAGGATCCCTTCATATAGTAAAAGGGCAGAAAATGGGTAAAACCCAGAAATGAATCAACAAGAAACTCATAAAAGTAATAGGAATCAGTAAATCCAGGGGATATGGGCAGCCAAGAAAACAATTTTGCCAACAGCTTTTACACTAACTACAAAGTGGGCAGTCCCTGATTCTTCTATGGTGCCCTAATCTATGCACAAGACCTGCTTCAACCCCCTCCAAAATTATGATGATTGATTTTATTTTTTATTCTATTTCAAAGAAAATAACCATAATGTTCAATCGAAGTAGTCTAAAAAGATCCAATACATATCTCTCAAATCAATCTTAGCTAGTAGCCCATTGTAACAACTGTTTTAACAGCTCAAAATCAATATATTCCTTGCCCTTAATAATCTACAATCCTTGGATTCCAACTAATCCATTCTTAATTTAAACGATTTTTTATTCCCAACTTTAATTAACTTAAACCATATCATTCCCAATTTTGTGAATACAACTACGCAAATTGAGCAATCTACATAAGGATCTATTGTATGGCCTTGAAATAGGGGTTCCAGATGTTGGGGTTAGACCTAACTGTTGGAAGTAGAATTGCATATTATTCTGTAGGTCATGGTTAATAATTAAGGTTGCTTCACTCATGGAAGTGAATCGTGCATTTATAAATGTACTGGCTACCTTTATTCAAGTATTGGATTCTTACCACATTCACAGGCATATTCATATCATGGTAGTATCCACTGGATAACTTCCCAGCACTCTCAAGAATGTAGCAAACTCCTGCAAGGTTAGTATTATCATTCCACCATCCTCCACAATTAAAATTTAATACCTTAAGATGGTTGAAAGGGTTTAAAGAAAAACAAACCTTCAAATGCCTCAGAGCATTTTGTGCATTCTGATTAGCCATTGATGCTTCAAAATCCACATAGAAAAGATAGTCAAAGTATCTGAAAGACAAGATAAAAACATAATTAAGACAGAAATGATAAAGCTGGAAAATGATTAGTAAACAGGAAACAATTACGAGTTGATGGCAAAATCTAATTAAGGGAACAACATATTTAGTTGCTATGGAAATAGAATGCAGCAGAGATCTCCATTGAAATTACTTTGTAGACCCATTATTGTTGTCATCTGCTGATCGCAGGGGCTGATTCCTCAGAGGACGACTTTCAATCTGGTTGATAGAAACATATAGAAAGAATATCAACATGTCCCGGTCCACAGATATGTAAATGCAACTTGGCAAAGACAACATGTATAATACAATATGAAAAGACCAACCTTGGTAAGGTTGATTTGCCTCAAAGCAAAAACAGCAAGTGCCTTGAAAAGAACTCCAGGACCCTCCTCTAATGAGAAAACTATACTTGTCTAAGAAATAAAAAACCACATTCATTATAATAAGTCTGTTGGTAATATATAAAAGCTGAGTAACAATAGAATAACAAGAGCATATTGATCTGAACCATGAATGCTTTTAATATCTTAAAAAGTTTTAACCTTGAATGGCCTATCCGTCCCAGGAATGATGGGCTCCCTTGCCAGCATCAGGAATCGAGTAACATTATCGCAGTCATCCTATCAAAAGGGAAGCCATGTGAGCAACCCAATGTGCTATCCACCTTCGACCCAAATTAATCAATGAAACTAGAACTCCTGGATGCTAACCTGAATATCCTGTGCAAGTATGTTCAAACCATAGATCATCCCTGCAGCAGAGCTGGCTACTGCTCCTGCATCTTGTAGTTTGTGGAGTGCAACATGCTAAACAATTAGAACAATTTCAAATTAGCTACAACTATAACCAGGCAATTTATTCCACGGATTTCCATGACCATAAATGATGATAAAATATCATTGACTCAGACTAGCTAAAGTGGTTCCCAGCAATCCCCTGACCATACAGATAGGACATATATCATACTTTCTTGAGAGGCAAAAAGGATAGATTCCCCACCAGTAATCAGAATATTTAAAATATATGAAAAGCATCTATGTTTCCACACTTGCAAAAGCTAACAGATCAAAGCTCATCGATAATATCCAGACTTACCTTTGCTGCACCAGCAGTATCATCCACGGCTTCCCTGACTAACCCCCATTTTGTTAACGTGTTCTCACATTGAGCAAGAGCCTAAAACGTAACACATTAATAAAATTATAACCTCAAGAAAAAAACAGAAAAAAATAAGTCAAGATCTACTGTATAACCAACCTGTGGATGGCTTAGAACCCTTTTTAAGTCCTCAAGTTTAACACCCTGATTGGCTAGTAAGCAATGACGAACAGTAAATTTAACCTCCCCTACTATGTGCAACCTGTGTCTGAGTAAAAGATCATAATTTCTGTGGATGCTCCCACCTAAAGAATTCTCAATTGGTAAAACAGCTCTGTCCACAAGCCACCGTTCAACAGCCTGCAGTATAGACCAAAATGGAAATAGAACAACAGTTCATACATGGTCTTGGCCAGTGACCAATATACATTCTCACGCATTCAAGCTGAAATCAATGTCCCAGTACACCATATCAAGATTAGGACAGCAAGAGCGGTAAAAAGTTCATTGTTCTCTATGAAACTTACAACCAGAAAAGAATCAAATACCATAAAGCTAATTATTGTACATTTGCACCCTCAACTGAGCAAAAATTAGATATTGTCATTAATTAGTAGAAAGTATCAAAAATCCAACTTCACTGCTATTTTGTCTTTTCCCTAAAAGCCAACTCAAGAGCTCACCTTGTCAAACATTATTTGCCTATAACTTCAATTCAAACCAAACATCTCAACTATTTGGAGACAAAAAAAACCAAAAAGAGCCTTAATTAATTCACATAACAATTTACACCTTTTAATTTACTTATTACAATTGAATAGGCTCATTTCCAGTATTGGAAAATTAAAGCAACTTAAAAAAAATGAAAATATTAAAGAATTGAAGCATTTACTTCAAAAGCAGTGTCAAATTGCTCGCATGGGACGGCTTCACAGTTCGGGTATGCTTTCTCTGCTGCAGACTCACTGTAAGCTCCACTAACTCCCTTTAATTTCAATCACCAATCAATTATTAACAAATGAACCAAGTCAAAAATTATTTAATTTTATTGTAAACTAAATACCTGGTATGCAACCCGTAGGCGGGATCCATCAGAGATTGAATTTGAAAACTGAGCCGAAGACAAAGGCCCTAAACATATGACAAAAAAATTTTAAAAAAAATTCATGAAACAGAAAACAAAATCCAAAAACAAGAAAGATGACAGAGGACTTATGCTTCTTGGCATATATAAAATAACTACTGTACCATCTAAAGAAATACCGATAGATTTTAGTTTTAAGGCTTGTAATAGATATGGTTTAAGCTTTGCAGAACAAGCTGCAAGCACTCTCCCTCCCAACTTTCGAGCAATAGGCAGAACTTCCACATTGTCTTTCCTTACACACTCAAAGATTGGAGATAGTAACTCGAGAGAAATATCATCACTTTCTTCCACGACAAAAACCATTATCGTCTCCATGTGTGAAAAAACCTTCTTTGAGTGATTAGTCTTCAATGCCTTGACAAAATATTTGAACATCTCAATAATGACACCATCACATTCAAGATCCACCATAAGAGCACACAATCTGATCTTGGCAAGAGTCTCAAGAATAGAAACAGTCTTAGCATATGACCGGGTGGACTTAACAGTCAAATTTTCAAACGATGATACAATCAACTGGAAGGCATCTTTCATTTGCTGATCACCATAAGGAGCATCAGGCGCAGTTATTCTCATTATCTCAATCATACATGAAGCAACAGAAACTTGCACATCAAGATTGAAATGCTTACAAAATTTATCCGTGACCAATGCATTCTTTGGCAAAGTTAGTGCCTTTTGCATTGATCGAGTTGGGTTCTGTCCCATCTTTGATAAACAATACTCAAGACCGTTAAGAAGAAGAAGGAGTTCAACAACCGAAGAAGGTGGCTCTTGAAGCTTATTTCCAAAGTTTATCACCTGTTGCTCAAGCTCTTCTTTACCATACAAGCCATAGTTTCCAATTTCCATCAAATTCTCGCTCTTAATCAATGATTTCCAAGTATTAAAACTTATTTCACCCATTAAAGTTTCCCTCAATTTCTGACTTCCAACACAAGTAAACGAGTTATTCACAATAGTGGTGTAGAAACCCTAAACAAAATCAAGCCAAAGCCACGCCTTTAAAAAAACAAGTAAAATCCCAAACAAAAGGGGGATGCAACCCTTTTTTTGAGTTTTTGACAGAGGATCCCTTCATATAGTAAAAGGGCAGAAAATGGGTAAAACCCAGAAATGAATCAACAAGAAACTCATAAAAGTAATAGGAATCAGTAAATCGAGGGGATATGGACAGCCAAGAAAACAATTTTGCCAACAGCTTTTACACTAACTAGAAAGTGGGCAGTCCCTGATTCTTCTATGGTGCCCTAATCTATGCACAAGACCTGCTTCAACCCCCTCCAAAATTATGATGATTGATTTTATTTTTTATTCTATTTCAAAGAAAATAACCATAATGTTCAATCGAAGTAGTCTAAAAAGATCCAATACATATCTCTCAAATCAATCTTAGCTAGTAGCCCATTGTAACAACTGTTTTAACAGCTCAAAATCAATATATTCCTTGCCCTTAATAATCTACAATCCTTGGATTCCAACTAATCCATTCTTAATTTAAACGATTTTTTATTCCCAACTTTAATTAACTTAAACCATATCATTCCCAATTTTGTGAATACAACTACGCAAATTGAGCAATCTACATAAGGATCTATTGTATGGCCTTGAAATAGGGGTTCCAGATGTTGGGGTTAGACCTAACTGTTGGAAGTAGAATTGCATATTATTCTGTAGGTCATGGTTAATAATTAAGGTTGCTTCACTCATGGAAGTGAATCGTGCATTTATAAATGTACTGGCTACCTTTATTCAAGTATTGGATTCTTACCACATTCACAGGCATATTCATATCATGGTAGTATCCACTGGATAACTTCCCAGCACTCTCAAGAATGTAGCAAACTCCTGCAAGGTTAGTATTATCATTCCACCATCCTCCACAATTAAAATTTAATACCTTAAGATGGTTGAAAGGGTTTAAAGAAAAACAAACCTTCAAATGCCTCAGAGCATTTTGTGCATTCTGATTAGCCATTGATGCTTCAAAATCCACATAGAAAAGATAGTCAAAGTATCTGAAAGACAAGATAAAAACATAATTAAGACAGAAATGATAAAGCTGGAAAATGATTAGTAAACAGGAAACAATTACGAGTTGATGGCAAAATCTAATTAAGGGAACAACATATTTAGTTGCTATGGAAATAGAATGCAGCAGAGATCTCCATTGAAATTACTTTGTAGACCCATTATTGTTGTCATCTGCTGATCGCAGGGGCTGATTCCTCAGAGGACGACTTTCAATCTGGTTGATAGAAACATATAGAAAGAATATCAACATGTCCCGGTCCACAGATATGTAAATGCAACTTGGCAAAGACAACATGTATAATACAATATGAAAAGACCAACCTTGGTAAGGTTGATTTGCCTCAAAGCAAAAACAGCAAGTGCCTTGAAAAGAACTCCAGGACCCTCCTCTAATGAGAAAACTATACTTGTCTAAGAAATAAAAAACCACATTCATTATAATAAGTCTGTTGGTAATATATAAAAGCTGAGTAACAATAGAATAACAAGAGCATATTGATCTGAACCATGAATGCTTTTAATATCTTAAAAAGTTTTAACCTTGAATGGCCTATCCGTCCCAGGAATGATGGGCTCCCTTGCCAGCATCAGGAATCGAGTAACATTATCGCAGTCATCCTATCAAAAGGGAAGCCATGTGAGCAACCCAATGTGCTATCCACCTTCGACCCAAATTAATCAATGAAACTAGAACTCCTGGATGCTAACCTGAATATCCTGTGCAAGTATGTTCAAACCATAGATCATCCCTGCAGCAGAGCTGGCTACTGCTCCTGCATCTTGTAGTTTGTGGAGTGCAACATGCTAAACAATTAGAACAATTTCAAATTAGCTACAACTATAACCAGGCAATTTATTCCACGGATTTCCATGACCATAAATGATGATAAAATATCATTGACTCAGACTAGCTAAAGTGGTTCCCAGCAATCCCCTGACCATACAGATAGGACATATATCATACTTTCTTGAGAGGCAAAAAGGATAGATTCCCCACCAGTAATCAGAATATTTAAAATATATGAAAAGCATCTATGTTTCCACACTTGCAAAAGCTAACAGATCAAAGCTCATCGATAATATCCAGACTTACCTTTGCTGCACCAGCAGTATCATCCACGGCTTCCCTGACTAACCCCCATTTTGTTAACGTGTTCTCACATTGAGCAAGAGCCTAAAACGTAACACATTAATAAAATTATAACCTCAAGAAAAAAACAGAAAAAAATAAGTCAAGATCTACTGTATAACCAACCTGTGGATGGCTTAGAACCCTTTTTAAGTCCTCAAGTTTAACACCCTGATTGGCTAGTAAGCAATGACGAACAGTAAATTTAACCTCCCCTACTATGTGCAACCTGTGTCTGAGTAAAAGATCATAATTTCTGTGGATGCTCCCACCTAAAGAATTCTCAATTGGTAAAACAGCTCTGTCCACAAGCCACCGTTCAACAGCCTGCAGTATAGACCAAAATGGAAATAGAACAACAGTTCATACATGGTCTTGGCCAGTGACCAATATACATTCTCACGCATTCAAGCTGAAATCAATGTCCCAGTACACCATATCAAGATTAGGACAGCAAGAGCGGTAAAAAGTTCATTGTTCTCTATGAAACTTACAACCAGAAAAGAATCAAATACCATAAAGCTAATTATTGTACATTTGCACCCTCAACTGAGCAAAAATTAGATATTGTCATTAATTAGTAGAAAGTATCAAAAATCCAACTTCACTGCTATTTTGTCTTTTCCCTAAAAGCCAACTCAAGAGCTCACCTTGTCAAACATTATTTGCCTATAACTTCAATTCAAACCAAACATCTCAACTATTTGGAGACAAAAAAAACCAAAAAGAGCCTTAATTAATTCACATAACAATTTACACCTTTTAATTTACTTATTACAATTGAATAGGCTCATTTCCAGTATTGGAAAATTAAAGCAACTTAAAAAAAATGAAAATATTAAAGAATTGAAGCATTTACTTCAAAAGCAGTGTCAAATTGCTCGCATGGGACGGCTTCACAGTTCGGGTATGCTTTCTCTGCTGCAGACTCACTGTAAGCTCCACTAACTCCCTTTAATTTCAATCACCAATCAATTATTAACAAATGAACCAAGTCAAAAATTATTTAATTTTATTGTAAACTAAATACCTGGTATGCAACCCGTAGGCGGGATCCATCAGAGATTGAATTTGAAAACTGAGCCGAAGACAAAGGCCCTAAACATATGACAAAAAAATTTTAAAAAAAATTCATGAAACAGAAAACAAAATCCAAAAACAAGAAAGATGACAGAGGACTTATGCTTCTTGGCATATATAAAATAACTACTGTACCATCTAAAGAAATACCGATAGATTTTAGTTTTAAGGCTTGTAATAGATATGGTTTAAGCTTTGCAGAACAAGCTGCAAGCACTCTCCCTCCCAACTTTCGAGCAATAGGCAGAACTTCCACATTGTCTTTCCTTACACACTCAAAGATTGGAGATAGTAACTCGAGAGAAATATCATCACTTTCTTCCACGACAAAAACCATTATCGTCTCCATGTGTGAAAAAACCTTCTTTGAGTGATTAGTCTTCAATGCCTTGACAAAATATTTGAACATCTCAATAATGACACCATCACATTCAAGATCCACCATAAGAGCACACAATCTGATCTTGGCAAGAGTCTCAAGAATAGAAACAGTCTTAGCATATGACCGGGTGGACTTAACAGTCAAATTTTCAAACGATGATACAATCAACTGGAAGGCATCTTTCATTTGCTGATCACCATAAGGAGCATCAGGCGCAGTTATTCTCATTATCTCAATCATACATGAAGCAACAGAAACTTGCACATCAAGATTGAAATGCTTACAAAATTTATCCGTGACCAATGCATTCTTTGGCAAAGTTAGTGCCTTTTGCATTGATCGAGTTGGGTTCTGTCCCATCTTTGATAAACAATACTCAAGACCGTTAAGAAGAAGAAGGAGTTCAACAACCGAAGAAGGTGGCTCTTGAAGCTTATTTCCAAAGTTTATCACCTGTTGCTCAAGCTCTTCTTTACCATACAAGCCATAGTTTCCAATTTCCATCAAATTCTCGCTCTTAATCAATGATTTCCAAGTATTAAAACTTATTTCACCCATTAAAGTTTCCCTCAATTTCTGACTTCCAACACAAGTAAACGAGTTATTCACAATAGTGGTGTAGAAACCCTAAACAAAATCAAGCCAAAGCCACGCCTTTAAAAAAAAAAAAAAAAAACTAGGTGAAATTAAAAAGTCCTGAATACCCTTTACCTAAATCCCAATTAAAACAGGTAACAAAATCTCTAAATTGTAAATTCCTAAAGAACGAGACCACTTCACTAAAATACTACTTTTAACATCCATTTTCCTAATAAATATCCCAATATAGATTTTTACTTCGTATATTTTGATTTTCCAGATCAAAATTAATAAATTACTATTTAATTAAATAGAAGATATAGTGCACAAAAACGGATGCGTAGTATATCAAGCCAGTGCAAATGACCGCAGCCATTTCTAAAACACGTTATTTTCTAAAATAACTACTGAAGTAGATTAATATATAGATTCTGTACAGAAGGTCATTACAGATATTTCAATTTTCACATACTGGGAAGCAAAGGCGACGAATCTTTCGAGACGTCGTAGGGGAAGTCGTCCAGCATCCTCTGAAGTTCAAGCGCCTCACCGTTTTTCCCTTCGTTGTCAGCGGAAGCTGAAACGGTGACGTTACGCCATCTGATGCGAGGTTCACGGAATCTGACGGCGATATTTAGTTTTCGATCGGAGGGCGAAAAATTACTGGTGATCCGAGCAGGAAGTGGAGTTACCGGCGAACCTGCAAGGGAAGCCTCCATTGACGGGTGCGTTAGGCGCGGCTTCATTAGAGGAACAAGTGAATCAAATTCTGGTTTTCTCTTCTTCGGATTTCGGAGGAATGAAACCAATGAATAGGAGATTCAAAATTTTGAAACGTGGCAAGTAATTTGTTTTGTGTCAGTTACTATTCCCGTACTTTTATGTATTACTGAGCGTCGGCGGTGCGCTTGGTGGGCTTTTGGTGGGCTGTTTATGACTTTATCTTGTATAGAATATCTTTCACTGCTTCCTAAATCTTTTTTTTATGATAAATGTCGAGTTTTGACTTTTAGTAACATGGGAATTATTAAATTGAATTTTAAANAAGAAGGTGGCTCTTGAAGCTTATTTCCAAAGTTTATCACCTGTTGCTCAAGCTCTTCTTTACCATACAAGCCATAGTTTCCAATTTCCATCAAATTCTCGCTCTTAATCAATGATTTCCAAGTATTAAAACTTATTTCACCCATTAAAGTTTCCCTCAATTTCTGACTTCCAACACAAGTAAACGAGTTATTCACAATAGTGGTGTAGAAACCCTAAACAAAATCAAGCCAAAGCCACGCCTTTAAAAAAACAAAAAACTAGGTGAAATTAAAAAGTCCTGAATACCCTTTACCTAAATCTCAATTAAAACAGGTAACAAAATCTCTAAATTGTAAATTCCTAAAGAACGAGACCACTTCACTAAAATACTACTTTTAACATCCATTTTCCTAATAAATATCCCAATATAGATTTTTACTTCGTATATTTTGATTTTCCAGATCAAAATTAATAAATTACTATTTAATTAAATAGAAGATATAGTGCACAAAAACGGATGCGTAGTATATCAAGCCAGTGCAAATGACCGCAGCCATTTCTAAAACACGTTATTTTCTAAAATAACTACTGAAGTAGATTAATATATAGATTCTGTACAGAAGGTCATTACAGATATTTCAATTTTCACATACTGGGAAGCAAAGGCGACGAATCTTTCGAGACGTCGTAGGGGAAGTCGTCCAGCATCCTCTGAAGTTCAAGCGCCTCACCGTTTTTCCCTTCGTTGTCAGCGGAAGCTGAAACGGTGACGTTACGCCATCTGATGCGAGGTTCACGGAATCTGACGGCGATATTTAGTTTTCGATCGGAGGGCGAAAAATTACTGGTGATCCGAGCAGGAAGTGGAGTTACCGGCGAACCTGCAAGGGAAGCCTCCATTGACGGGTGCGTTAGGCGCGGCTTCATTAGAGGAACAAGTGAATCAAATTCTGGTTTTCTCTTCTTCGGATTTCGGAGGAATGAAACCAATGAATAGGAGATTCAAAATTTCGAAACGTGGCAAGTAATTTGTTTGGTATCAGTTACTATTGTCGTACTTTTGTGTATTACTGAGCGCCGGCGGTGCGCTTGGTGGGCTTTTGGTGGGCTGTTTATGACTTTATCTTGTATAGAATATCTTTCGCTGCTCCCTAAATCTTTTTTTTATGATAAATGTCGAGTTTTGACTTTTGATAACATGGGAATTATTAAATTGAATTTTAAAACTATATATTATACAAAGACCAAGCAAATTCAGTTAAAACTTGAAAAAAAAAAAAATGTTAAAGTCCGTTTGGTTTATTATTTTGGATAAGATTTTTGGAATAATATTGTGTAGTTGAATAGAGAAGTATTACGAGGTAAAATTTAAAAATTTACAAAAAAAACCCTAAGTTTGTTAATTTAATTAAACATTTTAATATATAAAAATTTTATAAAATAACAAAAACACCCCTACCCACCCACAGTGCCAGATTTCGGCCACCATCGTCAGAATCTGACCGAAAAATGGTGTTACGATGCAGATCGGTTGGATCTAGTGGGTAAGGTGTCGATATGGCCTTTTCCAGCCAAATCCACCACGGATCTGGCCGAAAAAGGCCAGATCTGGCCGTTGACGGTCGAAAAAGTCCAAGAATTATAGGCCAGTTCCGATCGTTTATAAGCCGTTGTGACAGATTCTAGCTACCACCGACATTGGTTGCTGAAATCTGGCAAGTATGGGTAGATGGGGGTGTTTTTGTTAATTTTTAAACTTTTTTTTGGGGTATTTAATGAAATTAATAAACTTAAAGGGTCTAAAAATAATTAAAAAAATATACTAATATTTCTCAAATAACAAAACAAACAATATTTTGAGAATAGGATTGAAAATATAGGTAAAAATAATGTGCCAAATGGAGCCTCAGATTCCGACTTCAATTTTTCTAACATGCAAAGATGGCCGTCTCATACGCCCCGATGGGGATCCACACCAACCCGGCCTAATTGGGACCAGGATTCCTCGAATAACTTGGGCGACGGTTGGGGATGGACAAGGAAAAAATCCCCCGCATCTAGGGACAGGGCAGGTATAGGGGTTAGTTTCCCCCAATGGAGAACTGCCCAATCTTGTTCCCAAAAGCCCCATAAAACCCTGACCCGTATCGCCCCGTGCCATCCCTAACTCGCCCCAAAAAATTGCAGCCCAACCCCTTTTTTTATACAATAATGTAATGTTATTATTATATATCTAAATACCTCTTTTTTTATATAATAATGTATATATTATTATATATCTAAATGAAATATAAAATATGTCTTATATTAAGTATTCCAGTGCATATCTACGCAATTTAGTCATTTCATCTTATATTAGATTAATAAATATTATTAATCTAAGACTGTTTATATAATTTAGATATCATTTCATCATTTGATTATTAATTTGAATGAAAGCAATATGATCTAAAAAGTCTAAGTATCTTCTTCAATGCTTCACATTATTAAATTACGTCATTTTTTATCTTCACTAAATGTGAATAATATATTTCAAAATTTTATAAATTATTAGAAATACAATTCAACTTATTTTAAATAAGATGAATGATTATGTAATATAATTTCTTAAATTTAGAATTTATTTTACCATATTAGATCCAAAGTGGGGCAATAAATCAAAATTTGGTTTAATCATATTGTTATATTAATTTTTTTTTTTAACTATGTTTAATGGCTTACAAATTACATTGACTTGTTTAAGCATATTGCTATGTCCATGATGTTGAATTATTGCATTATTATATAAACTAAGGTAATTATGCTTCTCTTCTAAGCAAATTATCTAAACTTTGGGAACATTTTAGGAGAAATCTATGTTAGAAAAATAAATATCAAATTGCACAAATTTTGTTACCTTTCTAATCAATCAATTAATTAATTATTAACATTGTTTTATTTTACACAAATTCTATTATCATGTCTTTGTAATTAATTAATTAGTCACAAACTTTATTAACGTTGTTTTATCTTTATTCAGCTGTTCAATAAGACTTGATGCAATGATGTATGATGCATCAATCTTGGTTTTTATGTTTATTAATTAGTCATATATTACATTAATAGTTTATGATTCTTTAAACCTTTTTCATTAAAAAAAAAATAATAATAATTGAATCAAATAATTGATTATGAGTTATCAAATATCAATCTTGATATTTAATTTTGATATTCTATATAATATTTTTAAATTTAGTCAATTAATTCAATACAATTTAATTACTAAATAATCTAATGACATTGTAATTAAGTAATTAATTACAATTTTATTAAGTAATTAATTCATCCCTTAAAGATTTGCAATTTGTAAATTTATTACACTATTACATAAACTAAGGTAAATGAATTTCTCTTCTAAGTAAATTATCTAAACTTTGGGATGATTTTAGGAGAATTATACAAAACAAATAATTTTAAAAAAAGTTTAAAATATTTTTTATACAGGGAAAATTCCCCAACGAGAATACCCCTGCCCGAGGGAAAATCCCCATGGGGGATTAAAACTCATAATTCCATGACCTTTAGGTTGGGGCGGGGTGGGGACAAACAACACCCCATGCCCATGAGGCAGGGTTGGGGATTCTCCAACATCCTTATCCCGAGGATAGGGTGATGATGGCTAAACCCCCAAGGAGTCAGTTCTGGGTCTGAGGACCCGACCCGACCTTACTAACATGAAAATATAATAGAATTACCTAAATTAGGTTGTGACAGATAAGACTGTAAACGAGCCAAATCAGCTCGGCTCGATTCGATAAAAGTTCGTTTAGAGCTCGGCTCGATAAGGCTTGAGTCGACTCGACTCGAACTCGGTTTGTTAACCGAGTCTAGTTCGAACATAGTGAAGCTCGACTCGTGGGCTCGCATAAGCACTGTGCACTTACGCAGGGTGCTTTGGTGATTTTTTAAACTATTAGGTATTAAACTGATATTTTCTAGTGAAAACAGTTAAAAAAATAACAATTCCCCCCCCACCCTCCCCCCAAAGTGCAAATTCTTATAACACGATATACCAAAATACAAAGTCAATTTCAGTTCTCAATCCCAGTTGCCCTAAATCCCAAATCACAAACAAAGACCCCCAAATCCCAAATCGAGCTCGCGAGCCCACAAGGCCACCGGTTGTTTAACATCTATTACCTCTACATTCTTCTCTCTCGGTTCTGTCATTCGCTGCCGTGTCACCTCCGACCGCACCGACGCCGACACTGAGAGGGGCAGAGAGAACGAGAATCGAGCTTTGAAGAGCAGGTTTTATTCCTGCATAAAATTGTTTCTTTGGCTCTCTGTGGTTTTGTTGGTTTTTGAAATTTCGGCATATTTTAAAGGCTCGCATTTTGGTGCTCCAAAACTACAACTTGAATACACATTTTCAAGCCCATTAGGTATCAAGGGGTTGTTTGATTTACTGTATTCTCGATGGGTTTTGATTCGCGTGGAGTATCTGGCTCCTCCTCTTCAGTTTTTGGCCAATGTGTGCATTGTTATGTTTCTTGTCCAGAGCTTGGATAGACTTATTCTATGTTTGGGTTGTTTCTGGATCAAGTTTAAGAAAATTAAACCTATAGCCAAACAAGATGACACCCCAGATCTTGAAACCGACGACAAAGGTTTCTTTCCAATGGTTCTGATTCAGATCCCTATATGTAATGAAAAAGAGGTAAATATACACACACTTATCGAACTTGACCGAGCTCAAGTTCGAGTTTCAATTTTGAGGCTCGTCAGGTTCGAGCTCGAACTCAAGCTTGACACTGTTGTAAATGAGCCGGGCTCGATAAGCTAAAAGCTTAGCTTGGCTCAGCTCAGCTCAGCTCGTTTTCAGCCCTAGTGACAGAGCCCTCAGACTACGATATTTCTAATCTGGTCAAAATAGTTATAGTTCCTTTATGGTCCGAGCCCAAAAATAGCCCAAGATTGTCCAAGTCCATTTATTATTGTTTGGATTAGTAACTTACAGTAACGGTCTCAACATGACGTTGACAACATTAATAGACGGGATGGTTAGTCCTTATTTTTGTCTTTAGCTCTCGTCTTAATTTAAGTAGGGTATGTATAATCATAATGATAATAATAATAAAATTCTTCTTCTTCCATATTTTGATTTTTTACTTCAAAACTTTATATTTACAATTATAAAAAAAATGAAAAATAAACTTAAATCAATATAAATTAATAATAAAGCATATTAATTAAAATAAACCCATATTTTTACTTCATCTTTTATATCTTCAATATTTGCTTAAGCATATTAATTAAAATAAACAAGTTTGCTTTTATATTTTCTAATAGAATATGGAAGATACAAAACTTTTAAATAAAAATATGAAAGAAGAAAATGAATAAATATTTGTTATTACAATTACATCTTCAGTTAAATACGGAGGTTAAAAACAAAAATAATGGGAACTAAAAATCACCTCACTTAAAGGCCTTGGAGTCTTTGACTATAACCAATCTTAAATGGGTTGTGAATACCAAGCCTACCTGAGACTCAAAGAGATGGTGGTCCAGATCCAGCTCGCTTTGGACCGGGCTAAGACCAGGTAAAGCCGACCTAATGTTATAGGTTTGGGTCAGGGCCACTTTCAACATCATATTCATGCCTATCACGAACTCTAGGACAGTCAACTGCCGCCAGTTATATTTTAGATCCATAATACCCCGTTCAATTTGTCTAAGAAGAAAACTGTGTCCAGTACTTGATAACTTTTTGTTTCAAATCTTATTGAATTTGACTATTTGAGTATATAAATGTAGCTTATATTTGTGTACTTACAACATATTCCCAATCTGTTAATGTGGTGGGAGAAAACGTAATGACCAAGAATTCTATATTCTCATTCTCATGGACTTCACACTCGTCCAATTGCGATACCCATAAGTTGAACTTGACGTGTCGCCTTGTGTAAAGTCACAATATGTACTATTTGTAATAGTACACCAGATGTATGGAGTCAAGCGAGAGATATTTATAACATGATTGGAGTAATATAAACTATATATTACTTGTGTTAAGTCAATTTTATATATTACTTATCGCCCACTATTTTTAGGTTAGACCATGATAGTTTAGGCTTGATTTTATCCAATCTTCAGAAACTA